GCTGGATGGCGAACAACATTTCGAGCGTCGACCGGTGTGGGCGGAAACCGCTCTGCTCCTCCGGGAGGATGCCCTCTCGATCGCAGTAGTGGCTCAGTCGTGTAGCGACGACCTTAAGCAGCACCTTTCCGGCGTGTGCGACGAGACAGATGCCCCGGTAGTTGCCGCACTTCATCGTGTNGATGTCGTCGAGTGGCACGCACGTGGGCCACCGCTTGACCTTGTCAGCCGCATGCAGGTCGATGGTCGGCGACTTGGTGTTGAGAAGCTTGTGGAACCACCGTGCCCACCGTTGGCGAATAAACGTGGGGTCCCGAAGGACCTTGCCGTCCTCGTCCTTGATGTTCTGAGAGGTGAACGACCTCTTACCTTTGACGTCGATCATCTTCAGGTGCCTGTAGAAACCGGGTGTAGAAACATGAACACTGGCTGTCAAGTCGACCTACTGTTACTGTTCTTGCCTCTCACGGATATTCCCTCGGTATCCGTCCCTCTCAATGTCCCTCCCCCCCCCCCNCCCCCCCCCCCCCTCCCCCCCCCGTTTCGCACTTGGGTTCTGTTGATGAATGATTCCCCCACTCCCCCAGTTGCAAAACGCCAACAAGGTCAAGACGATCCGACTAAGCGACTTCGATCCCGATGAGCTGGCACAGCTCAACTCCACCATCCAGCTAGACTGGATGCTGTACGAAGCTGTCCGCGCCACGCACCAACCGGTTCAGGTGTAGCCGTTGTGGCGGTTCAGTTGTAGCCGTCGTGACGGTTGGCGCGTAACCGACCGGTAACACAAGGGTAACAGTAGCGGTGCATTACATTATGACGACACCAACACAATCCCTTTAATACCTCCTCAAGTGGGTTGCCTTGATTTTTTCTTTTCCTCTATCAGGTGCTTAGTCTAGGGATAAATATACCTTCAGAGTTTTATTTACTATTGAGGCTGATCGGCGATATTGAGACAGTACTTGTATTTTACTATTTTTTTTGTCAAATGTTGGCGTACTCTACTTGGGGGGTGAGTTCGATGGCGACCTCTTTGTGTAGAAAGTTTCGGTGGAATCGGAATGTCTTACGTCTTCGTTCCCTGTTGCACGCATCGGCACACCACCCATTGCTAAGTAGCCTTGTCTGGCGTCTGTCTAGTAGCCCCTGAAGGCGTTGTGTTGTGTTGAATGCTGACGTGTTGGCGCACAGATGGGGGTCCTGCCACTTGGGAAAATACTTTCTCTGTGTAGTGTGATGAGGTTCTCTGGGATTCAGCTGTTGCGTGAAGCCGTCGAGTATCACGTCTGGCTCGTCCGTTGAGTGTTGAGTGAACCGCTTATGCCCCTCTTCGCAGGAACACACTGTGGACGTGACCCACCTGTTTTTTTGTGCATTTGGGATTTTTTTGGTCATCCTTGCGCATGCATGTTGGCTCTGTTCCCATGTGTGGCGAATTGGGTCTCACAAGTTGTTGCGAGTGTGAGGCGTGGTCGGGTATTTTCTGTCGTTGGCAACCGCGGGAATCGTCATTCTTGTGCCGTTTCATGTCCTCGAAAGCACACCTGGTGGGGTCGAGCGCTTGAACACGAAGCACGGCGGGTTGTGGGCGTGGTGAAAACAACGGGGGCTGGTTCCGCGGACGTCCATTCTTGCGTCTGTCGGGGTCTTATCTGTCGAACCAAGTTGAATTGTTCGGCTGAGGGCCGTAAGGAGTCATGCCGTGCGTGGCGATGCCGGAACATGAACGAACGAGGAGCGGCAAGAATTGGGCGTACAGCGTACAGCGTACAGCGGAGGCAGTACACACGACACCGCGGCCTTCGGCTTTCTCAACACAAGAACCACGTTTATTCTGGTTTCATCAAGCACATGTAGATACCACCACCTCTCGCTTCCGTAAAGGAGATGTGCTTTCAATCTTTCCACCAACCTGTCACCATCCCGTTAGCAACACAAACAGCGACCACCAACAAACGCAGGATGACCACCGAACCGACGTTGAGCTTGCGTGTGCACACACCCGGCGCGTGTCCCGCAAGCAACTCTTCCGACGAAACGAACTGACTGTAACCGTCATATCCATGTGTATGCCAAAATCACTTCCATAGTCGGAAGGGAGAGGTACCTTATCAATGAACGAGAGACAACACCCGGGTGCATGAATGAATGACTGCATCAAAACCAATCATGACAATCGCGAGCCAAAGAAGTCACGCGCGCACGCCCAGTGTAGGCAACACAGCCGGGACATACCAGCGTATGCATTTACTTGTGCGTTGCTGGGTTTTACCACACCTCTTCTTCCGCCACCACCTTCGAAGTACCCAGCACATATCCAACCCCGACATCAAGGTGAAAACGACCGACCAAATCTACCGTTAAACCGCAGTCCTCATCGATGGTTGCGCCCGACCAACCAAAGCGGCGGCCAGTTTTGACAGGTGAGGCCATGACAAGAAAATAACCGAACTCTACTGCAAAGCAGACACGCAAGGCCTTGAATACTTTCGGAGGGTACGACAAGAGACTGGCTAGCTGGCTGGCTGGTTCGCGACAAGCTAAGTGATTCCGAGACCCACAACAGACGGGAAACAACAAAAAATAAAGGAATTACACGACACAAACAAAGGCATTGTCACGTTTCGTCCAAACCGCTACTAGCGGTTGCGCATTCGGGCGGACACCGAATCAGTCAGCAGCACCTGGCTTGGCGATCGTCTAGAGCACCACGGCTTTGTCGCGTATACCGTCTACCCTGCAGCAGCAGCAGCAGCAGCAGCAGCAGCAGTAACGTTCAACGTCTGGGCGTGCCACCATCCTCTCGCCCAACAGGGAGAAAAAAAAACGGTATGTTTATCCCGTGGGAGACGGGACGAAACCTCACCAACACCTCCTGCTGACGGCAAAGACAGCTCTGGCAACTGGGTAATAAGTCGTCGTTGTACAGTCAATCTAGCCGACAGGCTTTCTCCACGGCAAGCCCCAAAGTTCATAGCCGGTAGTGGTGTGGGTTCACGTCAACCATCACCTACACTCTCTCGTTGCCAAGTTTCTTCTATATAATATAACACACATCATCTTGGATTTCGCCTCCGTGCGAGCAAACCGTCGCGTCTGATCTTCTAGTCCACATCCCTCGTCGCCAGTGCCCCAACTCAAGCCAGCACACAGCAGGAGCCCCTACACCCTCTTGAACTTGGGGGGGGGACATGAACTTCATCGGCCCACACAGACTACCCTGCCTCGTTCGCCGTCCTCCGTAGCGGCAAAAATGCAGCCCAATTCACGCAGCAAAATCATGATAGCGGCGACACTGAAAAACTTCTTGCCAGGCGCGCACGTGCCTCCCCCGGTCTCGCCCTCTATTCCCCTCCTGCCCCCCCCTCAAACAAGAACAACATGCAACTCTGTGAACAGCAAAAATAAAAAATAAACTCATATTCTTGTTTATCATTTCACATGGCAGCCAGTATGTTTGATTCTTTCGCGACAATTTTCCGAATATACCCCCTCCCCCTCCCCCCCTCTCGCTAACCTCCATCATCCCAGTTCATTACCATCACCCACCTCCTACCATTTCCTCATCTTTCCGGCCAACCGACACCCTGTACCTCCCCTCCTCCAAAAAGCTTGGCGAGACACCTCGGGCGACTCCTTCGAAGATCATCCCCCACACCGAAGAGAAACGCATGCGAGTGATGGCGTGACCAAGACTCGACCTTCTTGTTAAGATGTTGCGCGTGTGCCACCTGCCTACCTGCCTCCCTTTCCATCTCAAAAAACACCCCCCTTGTTCCTCCCCTTCTTCGACATACAGGACCACCGAAGTACATAGACAGCAACAAGTCGCACTTTGTTGGTAATGGTACCGATGATCGATCGATGCGTACAACGAAACCAGCACAGCTCATCTCAACAAACACCCCCTTTCTCCCCTTCTTTGACATGCAAGACCACCGAAGGACATAGACAGCAACAAGTCGCACATTGTTGTTATTGGTGCCGACGATCGATCGATGCGTACAACGACAGCAGCATAGACTAGCATACGTTTTGACCATCCCATAATAGTCCCGCGAGGAAAAATTCCCCGATATACGGTACGGTTCGGTAATTCTCGTCCGTGTCTCGTATTACAACACTCCCCCCCCCCCCCCC